TGTCTGGTTGTCAATCAGTGTGGGTTGTGGGACAGGTGACTCTCGTGCTACAGCGTAGAAAATGAAGGGAACCGTACATTGTTTGCCAAAGTTGTCCCTTTTTACCCTGCTTGTCTCTCATGCTGGACTTTGGACAATGGCCGCATTACTTCCGGTCCGACGTGCACCAGTTCCGTGTCATCATCAAACTACTACCCCGCCCTTTTTCCCGCTCAATCATCCCTTGTCGCATTGTTTACAAAAACCCACCTCCCATATCCGTACATAGTATACAGTGGTCCAAGAGAGTACACCATTATTCAAATGATATCATCGCGTTCGCGCACGAGTCCAATTTAGCCCCGTGTACATATTAAACTTTCAATATATATACAGAGTTTATATAGGGGACCCCTTTGTAGAGATGGGGCGGCGGAGGAATATAGTTGACAAGGGAATCAGTGAAAAGGATGAACCGGCTTACACTGAATGTTCTATTACTTTTTATTAATACTACGATTATTATTATCATTCTCATCATCGTTCCAGTCTTATCATCGGCGAGACGAACGCACGTGACCATTTCAATGTTCATGCCTGTAGAAAACATTACAAAAATCAAAACTAATTGAAACTAGCAATGGCATTGTTCCTCTTTATTAAACTCAAGTAACATGAAAATAAAATGTCAGTTTAATGTATTTTTATAATCATAACATACACTATGAGTATACTCGGTATTTTATATTACTGCAGTTCTTAAAACTTAAATTTTAAACTAAAACTCGGAAAATTAAATCATAAATATTTATATTTATACTACATAGCAAATATGGTATGTAGTATACGAGTACATTTATATAAAAATAATAAAATGTTTTTTAGAGATTTTTAAATTCAATATTTTGTTGTATATTAAGCATTGCAATATTATAAATACTAATTGTAATTCTGATGCAGTTAATTAACCATAGATTAAATATACTATATATTTCTAAAAAATATTTCTTTCTATTAATTTAAAAAATTATGAAACTCTGAAATTATGAAATTATAAACTCTGGAGTGACTTTAAAAGACGTTGTTTTGTGTATTCACACAAGAAATGTATTTAAGTGTACATATTCCGTTTCATCTCTTATAATTGTTCAGTCAATGATTCAGGTTTCATCCTTACTTCTACACATAGACTCAGTCTTAACCGTAGCAAATGACTGCTGCAAAGCACTCAAAAGTCAAAACCCTAGGTTTTATTAAGGAAGTTGCAAAGCAGTTTAATTTGTCAACACCTCGGAAGACTCTATAGTTTATGCATTAGTCAGACTAATATTGGAATATAGCTCAGTCCTCTGGGATCCAAGTGCAGCTACAGTCTCTTGTCAACCTGAAAAAATTTAACGTAAGATTTTTGGGGTTTATTGGCTATGTACACTTATCATTGATCGTTCCTGTCACTATTTCTCTCTTGTGTTCACATATTTAAGTTTAATGTCTCCAGCTAACTGTTTACAACTTTAGCAAACATTTCTTAACAATATATACTCAATGGTAAGATCGATTCCCCTGATTTATTATTCCAGAATAATTTTAAAACACTTTCTAGCCTCATGCATCGTTTTATCCCTTTCCGCATCCTGATGTCTAATTCTAATTATGTAAATAACTAGTGACTCTCCATCATTGCATTGTATGCAAATAGCAGTCTTGACTCGAACACCTCCATCTATTTTTCATAAACTGATTTGTATAATCAATGCACTGTACGACTTATTTGAAATAATGTTATAAACTCAAGGAAAAAAAAGTAACTAAATATTATTAAAAACAAATAAATAAATATAAAATTCAATTGAACGGGGGATGATTTGTTGTGTAAAGTTTGCTTGTAACTCGTCTATAACAAGGTTTTCACCGGTTCACGTGGTAAACACGATGATTATGAAGTAGAGTATAACATGTTACTCGTATATACATAAAATTATAGTTGACAGCGACCGACGAGCACACGTTATGATCCGGCCGGTTAGCTACGCGGTTGTCGACACGATTACGACAGCAGTTGCCAAAAAGCTTTGTTATGATACACCGCGTATACGCGTTCTTCGGTTTTGCTCCGAGCGCGTATTATAATATTGCCCCGTGCTCAGGTGGGTATCATAAACCAGATGCATTTTTTATGCGTTTTCGCATACCTCGGAGAGAAAAAAAACCATCCCCGGCGAGCCTAATGGATTTCAAGGGTGGCCCTGTTATTAACGGGCAAACAATAAGCGCCGGTGTTCTTCAAAGGGTGTGTATATATTATATTATGGGCATTATACGCTGATGCACAAAACGACGACCGGGTGTGCTTGTGAATACGTACGCGCGCGCGTTTATTCGAGTCGCTGCAACGCGATAACAATGCCGCACTGGCCCATATTATAGTAGTAAGAGCTCACGCGTGCTCTCTGGAAGAAAACGGTGGCTGGACGCTTACGCGTATGACGACGAGATACGATAATAGACTGAAACAGTTATTATACACAGTATCCGTATTTATTCCCTAGACGTCCGAAAAACGAAAAAAATAAATAAATAATACATATACAAATAAACCGAGAGAGGGTGCACGATATATTACGCCCAGTCATCGGACCTTGGGGCGACGACGAGTATAATATTTTTTTTTGATTTTCCGCGGCGGCACACTTCGGTGATCTACACGCGTCCGGTGAATGGCGCGGCCAGCGTGTCGCGTGAATATAAAGATCATCGAGATGTATACAAATACAAAAATAGGTATTCGCACATATTCGCGTCGAGCCGCGGAGATGAGTATAATTTTCGGCCAACGTTGACGCGCACAGTTCCCATGAGGGTTGCACACAAAGGACATGGGGTGGGGAAGAGGCCACAATGGTTTGGCGAGTGTGTGCGCGCGTTCGGATATTGATATATTATTATTATTGTTATTGTTATTATTTATATTATTATTACTATTATTACGTTTAGCAGCTGCCCAAAGATCTGGCGAGCCGAAAAACCGCTCCGGCGGCGACGGTGTGGCGTATCGTTTTACGGAGCGCGGTGGCACTTATATACCAAGTACGGGGTGGGACGACGCGGTATTGTTGAATTGGGGCAACGGAAATGTCAACCGACAGACGACCGACGATTATGTCGAATTTCTCGGTACGCCCGCGAGCACAATGTAGCTCTCTCCTTTATACGCTACGGGTGTGTGTATACACGTCGTCAACGAGATCGGAACAAACGCGCGCTGCATTCGGGTTTTAATTTAATCTCACCGGGATTTTCGATCGTAGAAATGCTTCTGTTACGGGATTTACCGGCGTGCAGTTGACACCGCGCGACTGCACCCGAAATTGAAACGTTGCCGTCGAACATACGCCCGTACCTACGTATCCCACACGTGTTTTGATTTACAGGTCTTTCTTAGTTCGGTTTCTATCCTTATTTTCACTCTTTTTCTCTCTCTCTCTCTCTCTCTCTCTCTCTCTCTCTTCCGTCTATGTACGTGTAAGCTGCGTTCATTCAGACCCGACGTCTTCGGTTTAATCCAACAGTCGTGATTGAATTATTGGATATTACAAGCTGGTGCACACAGGTGTGCATACAGTGGCGTATCCAGAATTGTTTTTTATTTGGGGTGGGTTGGAAAAAATATAACTATACGATATCTTGTAAGTAATGAGGACCGCAGGGCGTTGTGTTGATCGATCATTAAATTATTTAAACATTGAAACATTTTCGGGGGAAAGGGTTATAACTCCTTAATTCCCCTGGATACACCACTTTGTACATATATTCGCGGATACGGTATTGATTAAAATATTCGTTCACGATTCTTGTTGTATTACTCGTTTCGTAATCCATCCACGTCTACGATGCACCTTGTGAAAATCAAAATTTCGGCAAACATCAAATCTGTTTATCACATACATTAGCTGGTACAAAATGTATACGTTATCGCCGATAATGTGTACCATCAAAAACGTAAAACGGTGTATTGTCTTAATTCTTGTTCCAATAAAACATTTACTATGCATTATACGCTTTGTCGGACACACGTTGTCGGATCATTGTCAGACTCTGTCGGCTTAAAAATAACCATTCCGGCCCCCTAATATACTGCTGCAACAATATGCACTAAACACCCTTATTGAATCTAATTAAAAAAACGCCCACATGGATAAATAGGACAATCACATTAAATCCGAATAAAACCATACGTTCGTATGTGGGTATATTGATTATCAATCGTTAATCATGGATACATACTGCAATTAGTGTTCATATAATAAATGTGTTTTACTAATTTATTTTATTAATACGTTAAAGCTGCATCAAACATATTTCGCGTACGAACAATTATAAAGGAACACAATTTAACATTAAAATGCTACTGTGAATACATCCAGTGAACATCGCGCAAATAATGCTTCGTTTCATAAACCCGTGCATTAATAATGAACGAGGTATGTCACCGCATCGCGGGTAAAACACACTATAAAAACGATTGAAAAATAGTTTTACGTAAAACATTAGAGCACTGATAAAAACAACGGTATACATGTTGTAATATATTTATTGAATTTTTCTGTAATGAAAAATAATTGCATGTCGGTGAAAATGATATTGCGTAATCGATCACGTACGCGAAAAAAATTGTTCGAAATTAAAATTATATAAAAAAAAAAAAAAAAAAAACAGCGAATTTATTACATGTTCGGAAGGATTTTTCAATTAAATATTTTATTAGTCGTATTCTACGAGACGGTTTTTTTTTTTATCGATTTATCATGGCGAGTGGTTTATACGCACGTTTAAGACTAGACGGAACTTTAGGCGGCTCGATCAACGTTCTTCCCTCCTTAGACCCCATTCACGGGTTGTGTCGCCAATAGCGCAGTTGCACAATGCATGCACAGTAAACACAGCACCCTAAGTACGGGCACACCGTACAGGTCGTTAATCACGCGCACCACTATTATCACGTCACAGCAACCGATCTTCCCGCCGTAGCGCGACGCGATCAACGTACAGATGTCTTTGGATCATCGATCGGTGTACACGCGTACAATCTGTGTGTACACACTTTCGCGTACACACGCGTTATTCTCTCGTCTTCCGGCACGATAACTCCAATGTGAAAAAAGTACACGATTTTTTTTTTTTTTTTTATTATTATGATTTCGATCGTTGATGACGACGATCCGCACGTATACAGTTGGTGAAATTTACGAGTCGCGCGCGCGCGCACCGCATCAACGTTCAGTCGAACGGAATGAAACGATCGTATGAATAGTACCTAACCCCTGAACATTGTAACTGGTTCGCATCATATTATATCGAGTAGGACAGGAAGAATGGAAGGGAGAGAGAGAGTGAAAAAGTGAAATCACTTATTTACTAAATCTACTCGGCTGTAAGTAAGTTGTTGGGTCATATATATATGCAATTTTTTATTTATACCCGCCGTTGATAATCCAATAGGACACAGCGGTGCCCCAAGTTGGTTTGTTGAACATGAAGATCTTTTTTTTTTTTATATAACAAACAATGAAACGACTACGTCGGTTTTTTTGGGGGTTGGCTGTTTTGTAATATGCACACCGTGGTCATCATCGAACATCGTACAACATAATAGCTGTTGTACATATCGCGTATACCTGTGTTTAATGATTTTTTTCTTCGTTATTTACGACCATAAGCGCGTGTGTTACGTTGTCGATGATATTATATGCTTTCATGTTTCATTTTTACAGATGGCTGCAAGTATACACGAATGTCATTTATTCAGTAAAAAAATCGAACAAAAATTGTATATTTCTCTGACAACAATTAACAAACCATATACTACGGAACATTATCCAAGAAATTGGTAGGTATTTTATTTTTACATATTTATACGTAAATATATACGGATTAGTTGAAGAGTCTGAGTAATATTTTATTATTTTAGATTAAAGCTATGACTATTTCAATGTAAAAAGAAAAAAATTGTTATGTTGAAAAAAGCTCACAATCATCTTATATTGTAATAATATTTATTTTTATTTATTGTTACTATGTGGTTTTACATAAACCTCAATTGGTAATTATTAATATCAAATTATTACGCAGAATAAAATGTTACCTAAGTAATCAAAATATGAAAAATATTATATATCTAACCCAGAACCCCAAACGGTTTCAACCTTTTAAAATTTTCGAAATATCTTTATAGCGCCTAAACATAGTAATTATAACTCAGTACATTTCTTCAACGTTTCAAATGTTTCGGCCGTTCGTTAATAAGTCAGCAAGTGCTATTAAATGTTATGTATATACATTCATAATAATTGGGACAAATACAAGAAAATAATTCCGGGGGCAAGAGGGGAATGATAAAAAAAAATATTAAGTTTAAAAGTCGTCGACTTTATTTTTCATTAAATAGTATAAAAATGTATTTATTTTATTTGTGAACCTCATAGGAAACTTTGAAATAATCATTAAATTTATAGGTCAGATTATATTTTTATAACATTTTTTCTGATATTTAGGAACACCCTTTATTTGGTATTTTATTATCTATTGCACACTGCTGACGTAAAACTGATAAAATGTGTGCGTTCGATCCGAGCGCCTTTCGATTTCAAAACTGTAAACAGCCGCCATACGCAAACTCGTATGCGTGTAGGTCATATACGAACGAAAATCTATTCATATACATGTATATGTGTACACGTATTCACATAATACGTATATAGTATACAGGACGGGGTCAGTATAACGGCCGTCGTTATTGTATTAATGACTTTCAACGCACCTAAACTATATGTGTATAGCACGTAGAGCGGAAGGGTCCGACGGTAAACAGTAGGGACATCGCGTAATTTCGGTCTGTCAGGGCTGACCGGAGGGGTAGCGGCTGTATACGGCGTGGGTGGGACGGAAAGTTCCTATGGACAAACTATTATGAAGTGCAATTAACAGTATTGTGCGGCGGCCGTTCGACGGGACCCCAAAAGGGCTCTGCGTCGGTGTACGCGAGCGTGTTTTCGGATGTCACAGCCGGCTGTGGCCAACGCACATACACGTATCACACGTATACCGTTTATGGCCATGTAATTCATACACATATATCGTTATAATTATTAGTTTTAAATCCTACAACTCGATAGGATTTTTTTAATAAACAAACAAGTATATTATGAACTTTTTTTCTCGTCGTTTTTTATTTCCACTGCTTTCCGGTTTGCTAACGTAACCGTTTAAAATCTGACGCATATTTTAACGAGACAAATATGTCTAAGATTAATTCACTAAAAATTTCTAGCGTAGAATCGTCTAGCTGTGGCACGAGTTAATTTATTTGATAAAATCACGAATTGTGCGTTTGATTTTTTTTTTTTACTTCGATCAATTATTATTTTTAATTTTAATTGTAATCAATTTATATTATCACTTATATATGTATTTTACGATGAAACTATTGAATTTTCAATTCGTAATAAATAAATATATTTTAAACGTTGATTTAGCATTGAAAAAAGGAGTACTTATATACCCATAATACAGAAATGTTTGTTAGTTTAATGCGAGGTTGTATTTAGTTTTGTGTACCCTATTCTACTTACATTAATATTATATTAATTTTATTTTTTTATTAAAATAAACGCCAAAGTTGGTTCACCTACAGAATGATAAATCTTAAATACAATACCATATACTATGATCAGGGTTCGGGAGGTGTAGCATTTTGCATTTTTTTTGTTATTTATTGTAAATTATAGCGGTGTACAAAATAAATTCTTTTGTCGATGGCATCATTTAAAATCTATAATTTGAATCTACATATTTTTGCATATTTTATGATTATGCAAGAAAGTGCTTATTTGTACGTTTTTGTGCTTATTGTGTTTATTTTGACAAATTATTGAAATTTGAAAATTAAAACTATACAAATTTCAACGTACAATTTTATACACCAACCGACCTACCAATTTACAATATACAACTCACTTGGAAAAATAACTTTATTTCATGTGAAACAAAAGTATTCTTAATAAAAATAGTTGTATTTTGGACGGCTGGCAGTCAATAACAGTATAGTTATTTAATAATTTTGAATAAAATTTGAAAACTAAAAAAATCAGTATGATTATAAAAATATTGAGTAATTTTTAATTATGTTTATAATTATTTTTTATATGGTACCATTACTAATTTATAATTATTGATAATAATTATATTTTTTGCATATTTAACTGTATTTTTAATACATATTTTAACGATTGTTATTATGATTTTAAGTGCTAGAAGTCCCAAACCTAGTATATGATCTATTATATATATATATATATATATATATATATATATATATATATTTATATGATATATAGTCTATGGTAGCATACAAAATAATAGCAATAAATATACGAGTAGTAATAATAACATTATCTAAATACAGTTTAAATTTTAACAAATTCAACAATTGCTTAACCGATTAACTTTAATAATAGAAGAAACCAAGGCCCGGCTCATTTCCTAGTCTTAAAATTCTTTCAAGGGATTATTATGTCCATAATTAGTACGATGGGTTTTGTTATTAAAACTAGAATTTGTCAGAGAGTTATTTTGAAGTTAATTAAACGAAATACATTCTAAAATAGAGGAACAATTTATTTTGCGACTATTTAATTTAGAGAGAAAGAATGTATCTGCATTTTTATGATGAGTGGATAATAGATTGAGATCAAGGATGTTATGAATATCATTTATATTAAAGTTAATTATTAAAAATTTTTTTTAATATACATTATATATAATATTCTTAATATACTATAGTAGCAATAACAACTATAGCGTTGTATTTTTGATATCTTCATTGTAATTTTACCAACTTATTTATATTTTATACTAAATAATCATTCATAAATAGCTTAATAAGTACAGATTTTGCATATTTTCTTTTATAATTTATTGAATATAGTTTTTCAAGCACAAAAATGTGATGAACATTTACAAGTTTGGTTTTAGACTATTTCAAGCTGGTTATTTCATAATAAGTTAAATATTCCAGCATCAAAGCATAAAATTTTAAATTTTTTACAATTTTTTCTTAATATTATAATTTAAATAATTTTTTATCGAAATAGCAATTAATTATACATTCATTTTTTTAATATTATTTTAAGGTTATTTTTAAGTCATTTTTAGGTTATTTTAGGACCACTTTTTTGGCATTTTATTTTAGATTTTTGGGGTCATTAAAATCCTAGTCCAAGTAATAAGATTTTAATATTTGAATAAGCTATCTGCATATGTATTCATAGATTTAGTGGGAATTTATATACTGTACATACATAGTACGTATAATTCAATTTGTAATGCACTCCGTTTACATAGTATTTAAATGTATAATATAATTGATGTATAAATTACGTGCAATTTACCAAACAATTAGCCGTACGCATTACCAACTACAGGTCCAAAATGCGTATTATGATATATTTTCTGGTGTCCTGAGTTCGTTAAACGAGGTGGCCATGATGATATTATGGGTTATAATCGAATTAAGGCCAATGATCCTGCAGCAAGAACGAGTAGAACATACACACACTGTCTTTCTATCACACACACGCACGCACGCACATACGTTGTGCAGCATGTCTCTTGTACGGTGAGAGCAGCTTGTATTCGATTATCACACCCACGCGCGTTTAATGACACGATTAGAATGTCTGTGGGTGAATTGACGTACAAATTGCTAGTTCTGTCTTAAAAACAAAACGATATTATGTCGGTCTACCAAATGTCGACCGGAAGTTGTCAAGCGTTCATCTACGTACGTATAATACCGTACTAGCCATTATGTGTACCGGCGAATTGTTTAGTTAAATGCTAATGCGTGTATATTTTAACGTGATCGACTGACAGGGCAATCCGGTTTTAGGTGGATGTAGTCAATTAATAATGTCCAGCCGACGTGTACCCTATTTTTTCGTTTCTACGTCAATTCTATTGTCGAGACCTATGCAGAAGAAAGGAAAAACATATGAATAAACATGCTGTAGATCGTAATAGTACGGTATAATTAGTGTAATTTAATTACTAAACACAGGCGTTCGTTTAAAAATGTCCATGCAACGCAGTAATTCAGTACCTCTGTTCTACATAAGTACATATTATCAACATTTGCTAAATATCGTTTGAACTGTATAAAAAGTCAACGCCGATAAAAACTATTGTTATCAAAGATGTTTATTATTAATTATAAACTATCTATTTTAACTATTAAATTATATAAAAATTGACAGTTTATTTGTTTCGAGATATAGTTTTAATATATTATGATACATAATCCAGTATTTTTTCTGTGTTCATTCATAAAAAATACACATTTCCTAATAAAATTTTCCACAAAAAATTGACGATATTTATGATACGTGGAATATTAATTTTATATCGTTTTATAACAGGCGTGGTAATTTACATAAATATGTAATAGCAAATATAGTGTAAAATCTTAAAACTTTTCAATTTTTGATAGTTATTACGACTAATATGGAGTGTGCCCTGAAAAATCTGATGGTGAAAATAGATAAGATTAAAAACAGCACAAATGTACCGTAAAATTCGAAAAATTTGATTATCTACCCAAACAAAGTTGTATATTATCTTAATATTATATTTAAATTTGTATAAATTATACACAAACAAAGAAGGAAAAAAAAATTCTAATCTTCTATTTAAATATTATTTCTTTTTTTTCTTTTCGGAAGAAAACGTCAGTATGGACGTGAATCATTTAAATCACACATACGCTGTAAATTTACGATTAGTCCACACAAAAAACTTAAACGCAAAACTATTAACTCTAGACTAAATATCCTTAGATCACTCTTAAAATCCAACTTTCCCTATCCAACAAAATTATCATACATAAAACAATAATTCGACCAGTTTGAACTTACGGTATCCAGTTATGGGAAACTGCAAAGCCATCCAATACTAAAACGTTTCAATCCATCTGAGTAATAACGTCTTCTCCCTGGTACTTCTCAAACAATAACCTTCAAAAAGACTTCAAAATTCCTACACTAAATGAATTAGCAAAACCATGTTACTTCAAATTTCACACTTGAACACTCACAGTAACTCATTAATAAAACAACTATCTTTCACCTCACTTCTTCGCATTGCAAGTAGAAGACTCAAAGGCAGTGGCCTAGGGACTTATTAGAATAAAAACTAAATAAAAAAAAAATAAAAATAAAAAAATGTACGATTAAAAATATTTAAACGCACTATACTCAGGCGTATTTCCAAGCCGACCAGGTCTAAAAAATTACCGTCGACAATGAAAAAGACCTGCAAAACGATTAACGAATAAATGTTTATTTGGATCTGTTACAGGTAGCCATTTGAACCGATGGCCTAAATAACGCGGGTAAAAAGTTCGGAAACGTACCGTGTTCGTTTGACCGTTAACGTTCACACGATTGTTACGCGACGTAATCGCTGTACGACGACGACGTTGCGGTGCGTACCGGACGACCGGAAGGGACGAAAGGGGTACCGATAGTGACCTTGAGATAATGGCGAGGAGAAGTGAAGACGAGCGAGAGGCGGAGAGGTGAGCTTCTCTGGCGTACCGTTTACGTGCGCGCAATAAGAAGGTGTAGCGAAAAAGACGGCAGCCTACGCCGCCGCGTTACCGCCGTGGTAACCGTCACGCGGCCGGCGCGTCGGTTTCACGCGGCATGTGCGGTAAGCGCACGGCACACGGGCGAGAGCGCACAACTGGGCGGGCGCCGCGCGCTGGTGGCCCGTCCCTCGGCCGGCGCGATTTCTTTCCGCGCCGAAGCTCGCCGGGTCGCGGGGC